TGGGAAAATTCCCCAAACTATTTAATCTATCAGTTTCCCTGATGAGGAGAAAGAAAAATAAAGCTAACTCACACCATCCAAGAATGTTGAACTTCTATGAGCCAAGTAGATTGTGTTGGTGCAAAATAGCAGCTTCTTACTTTACCATTATCAATCCTGAAAGGCTGTCTTTTATTTTTGATGATTCTGTTAAAAACAAAAAGGACATCTAAGACCTTTAACTTTCTTTGTATAGTGCCCCCCTTAGCATTTTTACTTGTGAACACATGTCAGTCCAATTGTAGACTACTAAGGAAATCATTAAGAAGCACTTTTACAAGAATCTCTCTGATGAAAGGAATACATGCTTATAAAGAGTTGATCTTACCATAAAAATTCTGTGCCCTGCTAAGAGAAATAAAGGAAACCAGACTGCACTCTGGAAAGTCAAAAAGGGAAAAAATAGGATGCAAATATACATCTCTAAATAATAAACTTATTAGTAATGCTAGAATATAGAAACATGGATTACTAGCCAGGAGGAGGTGGAAGAAAAGGTCCAGTTTTGCTTAGGCAGGGGCTCATAGGGCAGAAAGGAACCTGAACTGAACTCTGTCAAAGAATGAACGGCTACAGCCTAGCAGAACCCCTTCTGATTTGGGTTGTCAACCGTCTGCAATGGAGGTAGAACCCACATTATCCTTTCTGGGGAGGAAGAGAGAGCTCTGAGGGACAGACCTTGAATGCATCCTTCTGGGCCACTCTAACCCCTAGTCACTATAAAAGGGCTAAATTTGGCCTACCTTTAGGACTAGATTTACACACAGGCGTTAAAAGACAGCCAAGGTTCATTTAGTTCTCCTACCCTTTACTTAAATTCTTTAAATTCCTTAAACAGGAAACAAAGACTTTCATTTCATAGAGATATATGGAAGCAAAAGTCTTACGCAAACTTTCTAAGACTTAGAGTTCTCTCTCATCTTTCCTTGGAGCAAGAGGCACCTGAGGCTGGAAGTGGAATGTTCATCATGGAGGCAAAGATGATACAGACAGACTCATGACCAACCTTCTTCATGAATCTCAGGAGACTGCCTATGTAATTTTGCCTATCCATCATTTCTTTCACCTAATACTCTTGTCCTTCCTAAATTATCCGTCAGCTTCTAGTTTTGGCCCCCAACGACCTCTTATGTACTGCTGGAATGATTAATTTTCCTGAAATGAAACTCTGATTACAATCCCATTGCTTAAATTCACTAAATCTTTCCTGCTTTACTAATTGATGCCAGACTACCCGAGTGAGGCAGTCATTGACTGCCTGCCTCCTAGGAAGCAACAGTTCTGTAGCTACCCAAGCCTTGCTTATACTCTCCTTTGAGCACTGTTTTACTTTTGTGACCTTCAAGACTCAGGTGTCACCTCTTCTGAGGAAATCTTCCCTAACAAAGCCATCCTTGATGGTGCATAACAGATCTTTATTATTGCCACTGTATCTCTTGGTTTATCTATATCCTTAACAAAACTCTGAATGCTGAGGGGTGGGCTTTGTCCTTTTCAAAAGATTATTAAAGAGAATTGAGCCACATCACAAAGTGCCTGCCACTGAGCTTATAACTTCCCGAAAAAAAAGACTTCATCTTAAAAATGTGCTTCCAAAAAATTCAGTTATATTTTAATTCTGGTTCTACAAGGAAGAATTTTCATGAACTGATATTTTGGTAACTATAATCTTAAGTACATTGCACCCCTTTTCCCCCTTCCATTTTTTTTTTTTTAAAGGTCCAGAAGTGACTAGTGTTTGAAACTTGGAGAAATACCCTCATCTCTGACCCATGACAGAATAATGTTTTAATTATCCATCATTGAAGGCTTGATGATAAAGCATTCCTGTCTTTATACTATGCTTAGTTCAGAACACTGGAAATAAAATTGGCAATATCCAGCTTTTTTTGGACAAAAAAATTATGAGTTAAAATAACCATCTCACAACCCCTTTTTGTGGGGGGTGAGTGGTACAGTAAGCTATAAAATCACATTGTAGCTAATTTTTTTGGAGGAGGGCAATAAAGTTTGTACACACTGCCGTATCAGAAACAAAATGTCCTATGATTTTGCAGTTGGCTAAAGTAAATAAACAAAACTTCTGTGGTACCCTGGCCTACGAACATTTCACTGAGAAAATTACGGATGGCATTCATACACAGACTGTGCTCCTAAACTGGCATCTTAGTAAATTAATGTTCCAGCTATGTGTAGCTGGAGACCCGAAATATCAGAGGTAAAACTGAAATTTAAAGATTGAATCAACCGGAGGAACGCTTGATGTTGTTTTAAAATAGTCTACCTGACGCAGACACGCATATAGCTTTTGCAGCCTAAGTTGTTGTCCCTGACTCTGGAGCAGGGGACTCACGAGAGTAGGCGTGGATGAACAGGCTTCCTTTCACAGGTCCAAAGGGGAGGCCGGGGAGTTGGGGGGAAACCACAGGCACTACTATAGTTTTGCATTTTTTGAGCATGGCACCATTAGTTAGCTTCTCATGTCATTAAATTGAAAAGTCTGTTAATATTTAAGGTGCAGTACATTTTTGCCAACTTACTTTTTAGACGTTCACAGGAAGCTTGCCTTTCTACATTAGGTCCTGCTATTTAAAGACAAATAATTTTGTTAAATATTAATTTGTATTTCTTAGATTACTAGAGGTTGAACCCTTAGAAACTGCCATTTATTTCTTCTGCAAACTATTCATGTATTCTACTGATTTTTAAAAAATGTAATAGTAATAATTGCTTTTAATTATCATTTTAAACATAGTAATCATTTCGTGACTATTATTTAGGAATTATACTGTTTTTCTACTCCCAACACCAAAATTGATATTTTCACAAAAATCCCAACCTTTTCTAATACTACTTTTTCTCCCCCTGTATTAAATATACTGTTCGCACTTCAGGGGCACACCCGGCAAGCCTTTTGGTAAACATTCCAACACAGAAGTTTCACTTTCTAGCTCATCTGGTACAACTCCACTTAGCAACTTACTCCGTATCTTCAGGTTGCTTCTTCAAGCCTAAGCACTTAAGTTCCTTTAGTTATTTCTATTAACATTAAAATTCTATTTTTAGTGAATATATCCTGCAGCGTAACTAGAATATAAAATAATTGGAAGTTATTTTATGAATCTGATTTTATGAATTTAGTTTGTGGCTTAAGTTTTTATTTTAAATAAAGAACATTTATCTTCTTTTAATGCAGAGAGTTAATTATCGATTCTCAATAACTCCTGATTAGCTAGTTGGCTATAGATATAGAGCATGTTAATTTCTACAGGCACCTTTCTGAATTCAAGTAAAAGTTTTGGTAGACAAGGATTTCCTATTTAAATGTCATTGACATATGAATATCGAGTACAAATATTGCTCACTGTTCTTGCATTCTCTAAATTATTTTACCTTGAAGATTTAAGAACCATCCTTAATCATTAGTAACAGGTTTTCATTGAAGGAATATTTGGAACTGTGAAAATACAAATCTAATCAAATTAAATTTTGAACACATATAGAGCCAAATATTTCAACAAAACTGCAGTTTAATTTCAGAAAATGTGTTAAAATATATATTTATACATCAATTTCTGACATACACTTAATGTGTTAGTATACACAAAATGATGCTTTCTCTTGAAACTGTATTTATGAAATGTACATTTTAATTTAAATACTCAGTATACACTGCACTTAATCTGCATGTTGCATTTATTAAATACATTAAAATCTGCAATGTAACAAAACGTTTTCTGCATACGAAATTCAAAACACCATTTTAAATGAACAAAAGATGGCTCACTTCATTTTTATTTTTACAACTAGTGTATAATACACTAGCTCAGCTCCACCACACTACCTGTTCGTTCTTTTTTATTTGACATTGTTCACAGACTAGTACATATTACAATAAGAGTGCTGGATAAAAACATGAGGTACGAAAGTGGTTCAAAGATTATAGGTCATGCAGATCATGCTAGACAGCAAAAGAAAATTGTGACCGAGAAAACACTAAATAAAAATACATAAAGAATGTGCATTATAAAAAAAAAAAACAAAAACAAAAACAAAACTCCATTACACAGCTTTGCTTCTTTGGTTACAAAGTAGGTTGAACAATTTCACAGCTTTTTATTCCCACCCGAAAAAAGTCATACGAAATGTCAAAAAGCAGAGGAATCGTGGCAATTTCTCTATTAGAAAGTAGAAACAAATGAACAAAGTTTTCTTCATCAAAATAGCCCAATTATTTATTATATCACAATAACTGGTGACTACCTGTACAGTTGCACTATGTCTTCATACTTACACTATACAAAATTTACATTCAAGCTGGGTCTTTACTACTGAAAATAAATACCGAAGGTAAATTGCCATTAGTGTTAGAAATATGCCAGGATTCTTTTGTTCAATTATTGCCTAAACGTTTTATCTATTAAATGCAATCCTGTCTTTCAATTCCTTTACTGATACTTATAATTATTCAAAAAAATTAAAAAAGTTCTGTGACATTGTTCATGTACATTATGAAAATAGCAGCCCTGTAATAAATAAAACACAAATAAATGAAAACTTATGTAGGCAAATGTTACTGATACTGAAAGAAAAGTGGCTCTTTAGGTGAACTGTTATTTATAAAGTGAGAGGAAGGCTCAGGGTAAATCCACGGGTGACAGGAAACATGGGAGAGCCGCCAGAGCTCTGAGCGGCCCCACTCGCGCGCACCAGGTAAAGCGCAAACTGCCCGCTCTAATGCACACCACCCGCCCCTCTCCTGTGCACTGATGCCAGAACTGGACGCCCACAGCGCTGCGTGACGTCTCAGAGAGGAAACCTCCTGCAGGATGATTGTCTAATACTGAAAGGGCCAAACACACAACCGAAGCGTGGCTACTTGCTGTCGTATAAAGTGGAAAGAACACCAGTGGCACACAAGGGTAGACTGCTTTCAGTTTTTCCTAATGAGGCGAGAAGCTTTAGGCGGAGGAGACATTCGGCTGCTGCGGAGGCTGCGCCGGCTGAGGAGGCTGCGCCATCACTGCTTGCGGCTGCGAAGTGCTGCCAGGGTTGGCCTGTTGGGCTGGGAGCTGGGACAGTTGATCATTGTTTGAAAGAGATTTTAACAGTGCATTTTCTCGTTCAAGTAAAGAGTTTCTTTCAACTAATTCTTTTATTTGTTCCTTTAGAACTTCCACTTCTTCTCTTACTGCATACATCAAATGGCTTTTCACCAGATCCTGTGAAAAACAAAATGAGGAATGTCAAAAAGAGTGAAAGAGGAAGGAGCTGCTATCTGGTTCTCCTTATAAACACAAAATGATTTTATGCTAATTTTCCTGCTCTTGCTTTTTATGTTTCTACTGTTTCCTGACAGACCCTGAGGAAGATGGGGTGGGAAAAATCTAGTTTCTAACTGGGGCAGCAGTCCAGAATTTTCTTTTCAAAGTTGAGAGTGATTTAAAAAAAACAAAAAAACCAGCTCCTTAAATTGTCAATTAATAAAGCTTAGAATTAAAAAAAAGTTTAAAATCATATACTTAGATGTCAGATGAAGAGAACAAAGGAAATGAAACTAATATTAAACTAGCTGTAGTAATGCTTTAAGAAGTAAAGTGACCTGAAATTTCCAACTTCAAAATCTTAGGATTAAAAAAAAAAGCCGACTAATGGCCTTTATTTACAACCTATTTATGATTTTAATAACTTGAACCAAAATATTTTTAAGAATGTTGAGTAAATCTTTAAGAAAAACAGAAAAACTGATAGTAATAGCAGAAATCAGAACCAGAGTCAACAGAAACAAGACTGTTTATTTAAAGCTGAGTAACTCTCTGTCCATTGGACCACCAGAAGTCCAGGTCTCTAAATTATTCTTGATGCTGAGATATTTAGGGGATCAAATGCATGTTGATTATATACACCCCCAAAATGGTCCTTATCAATAGCATAACATGAAATGTAAGATGTTCAAGTAGGAAAAGTGTTTACTCCAGTGGTATTTCTAGACTAAAAATTCTCAATGTTTTAGCATTTTCAACTAAATCTTATTATTGAAAAATATGCTTTGGCTATCTTGGCTTAAAGAAACTAGATACTTGTTTTTCGGGCTGATAAAACCCACGAGTGTATGAAATGAGGAGACTGTGAGTTTTTACTCACCATTGCTTGTTCTATTTTGTTGTCGATGGCTACACCACCTCCCCCAGATGCACTGGAAAAAATCAGAATATTTCATTAAATTATTCTAAAAAAAATGTAAGCTCCCTTCCAACTCTTAAAGTAAATAAAAACATTTGTGTTTTACTTAAAACCAAAATAGTAGTTTAAAACAGACTATTAGCCTATTTTCAGAATTTCATACTCAGAGCTCTCACTTTGAAAATGAGGATCTCAGTAAATAGATGACTTCTAAAAATCCTTTGTAGTTTCAATATTTCCAACTTGCCTATGAAATATATATGCTACTTTAAACATTAACTCCCAGTTCTATTCAGGAGTTCTCAATTCAGTGACCTTAAGATATATTTCAAATGAGCAGTATCTGCTCCACATCTCTTCATTTACTAACTATATAGTCTAATTAACTTTCCTGCAAAAATTTTAGTGGTTTCTTACTGCAGTAAATTCAGATGATTACCTCTTTTCTATAGATTTTTATATTTTTAATATCTGGTTTTTAAATTTTAAAAATTGGCTTGTAAAAATGATTCAGAGGACTTTTGGGCAAACAGTACTTGGAGGGTTGGTTAACAAGGAACTCAACCGTCTTGGTAGACCCACATGCTTTGACTGTAGCTTGCTACCTGGCAAAAATCACCAACTAAGGTATGTGGTTTAGACCAATTTTTCCTAGAAATAATTGGAAACAGTCTAGCTGGTAAGTATATCTCAAGTTCAATTATCATTTTAGCATTTATATGATAATGACATAGAAGGCTGACTAATTATCCTCTTTGGCAGTTTATATTTTCCTATGTATATAGCAAAGACCTATATCCTTTTGTTGGTGTTTTTGTAAATTTTAAAGAACAGTTATTAGATTTTCTTGTAAATATAAATCAGATATATTAATCTACTGTATCAATACAGAAAAAGGTCTTTATTTTTATATAAAACTTTATTGCACACTCTTCATTTAGTATTTAGTGATAAATTTAGGTCCTAATATATCTGAAGACTATTTTACTTTAGATGATGGGGACGTTCAATGTTATATTAGACTGAGGCTCAGAAATATCCTATCTGATATAGTGGTGCTTTTTATATTGTAATCTAAGTAGATATGGTTACAATCCTGGTTTTGTTACTCACTACCTACACATCAGTAAATCATCTATTTAGCTTCCTCGGGCCTCAGTTTCCTCATCTGTAAAATGAAGGGGCTGGTATCTATGCCTCAGTGGCCTTTGAACTTTTTAATCCTCTAAACTCTGAGTCAATGCATGGAAAACACTAAGCTTGTTTATCTGAGCATTAACAATATTAAATACAGCATACTACTTCACTTCCTGCTATTGCTAAGATGAAAAGGAGCTTCTGTATACCTAATAACTGGAAAGGATATATAGATCATTAATACTATTAGGCTTTAAAGGATTGTAGAGACTAAGTATGGATTCATGTAACTATAAACTACAGAACTATGTAAAGTTCAGTTCAGATACCATATGCATAGTCACCAATACTGGCCATAATTTGGCAAAAAAGATGGTAAGAGACATTTAGATTAGAATTTGCCTGAGAATCCTGGATTATACTTTTTTATTCTGTATCAAGGGACAACTGAAATAATTTCATGACTTAAATACAATCAATTCTTTTAACGTATCAATTTTAAATAGAATGCTAACTTTAAATAAATGCTAACTTTAATATCAGTTTTACATACTAATGAGCAAACAAAAAAAAATCTAAATAAATCTCAAACTCTTGAAAGATTTCTTTTCTGATAATTAAAATAAAACCTAGTCAGTTTCCAAACCATTCCCTCAGCTAAGGAACAATAATTAGCATCCTACTCTTTGCTGATAAAATAACCTCCAATCGTGACTTATGTATCTTTTATTGCTACAGAGGAACAGGCTTGCAAAGTGTAAATTAAATAGGATCATACTGAAGGTATGTGCCCTTTAGAAGGTATTATTTCAATTTTGTTAAATATTGTACTTTAACAGAATCAGGTCAGTCACAGATACAATTACTATCACTATTCACCTTTGGCCACTTTGAAGGCTGTTACCAAGAATACTATAACCTATCGCAGAGGTTCTCAAACTTTACCATTGCACCAGTCACCTGTATGTCTTGTTAAAAAACAGACTGCTGGGTTCCTCCTCAGTTTCAGGTTCAGTAGGTCTGGGATGGGGCCCAGAAACTATGCAGCATTTCTAACAAGTTCTAGGTGATGCTGATTCTGCTGCCTGACAAACCATACTTCTGAGAACCACTGGCTTACAGAGATGAAAGCTAGAAGGGAAATAGTTTTTTAAAAATCTATTTAAAAAATTTCTTAGCCTGGTACACAAAACCCTGCACAAGCTTGACCTGTGTCTTCCACCATACCCTCTCTCATATTCTGTTTGGCATGCTGTGTCTGACATAGCTGTCTGCAATCTGAGGAATGTATTGTCTGTGTGTATCCTCTCAGGTTCCCAAGGCTTTGCAGAAACTCTTCCCGCAGTGGCAAAGGCTCATAATTCCAATTCACCTGGCTTTCTGTGACTTGTTTCTTAAGATGCTCACTGCCATCTCTTCTGGAATGCCTTCTAGTTTCCTAAGGTGAACCCAATATTCCATCCCTTTTGTGGTTTCACTAAAATAATCACAAACTTTTTACAGTGCATAACCATGAAATTCTGGCCGCTCTATATACTCACTGTGAATTCTAGGAAATTATTTAACCTTCTTAGATCTCAGATTTTTTTTTAAAACCTAAAATAAGGATGATATCTTCAGGATTCCTGCCTGGGAAATCCCATGGACAGAGGAGCCTGGTGGGGTACTGTCCATAGGGTTGCAGAGTCGGAGGTGACTGAGCAAGGAGCAAGGATTATAAACCCCAATTCACAAAACTCCTGTGAGGATTAAGTGACTTTAAATAATACTACCACTGTTAGCTCTATCAGACTGAACTCTTTGAGTGAGGTCCATTATCATCTTTACCTCTGTGAAGAGAACAGTGCTTGGCACATAGAAACTCGGTGTGTACAGAAAGAGTCAATATGACAACCGTTACTGAATATACTAGAAACAATTACTGGTTCATATTAGGAAGCCATTATATTTTTTTGAATTTAAATAAATCAGTAGTTCTCAGTGTTGTGGTCCCTGGACCAGGAGCATCAGCATAATCTGGGAACTTGTTAGAAACACACATCTTCGGGTCCACTCACACCTACTTTTGAGGTGGGATTCAAAAAATCTATTTTAATAACTCCTCCAGCTGATATGAAAAAAACTAAAGTTTGGGAACCACTGCTTTAAAAATAAAGATACAAAACAGGCTTCCCAAGTGGCTCAGTGGTGAAGAATCTGCCTGCAATACAGGAGACTTGGGTTCGATACCCTGGACATGGAAATGGGAGCTCACTCCAGTATTCCTCCCTGCGAGATCCTGTGGACAGAGGAGCCTGGTGGCTCACAGCGACTAAGCAAGCAAGCACCAACATGGTAGCTTTAAATGGAAACAACAGGGGGGTATTCTATCTGAAGATCCCAGGACATGGACCAATGAGGGTAATAAGCTTTTCCTATTGTGTTCAAAGTCTGGGGTTTATGTTCTTTTAAAATGAGAATGATTAGCTGCAGCAGAATGAATACTTTTCTTTTATTTGCTTCCTTGATCTAATGTTACAGTATTAGACCTTGTTTTCTTTCTTATTGCATTCACCACACTGTAACTGGGTGATTAATAACCAGTTTCCAAACTTAAGTTCCTTACGAGACGGCTTCCTAACACTCTGTAACTATTCTGATAAACTATACAGTGCTACAAAAGGGGATATTTTCACAAAGAAACTTTCTGTTTACTATGGGTCACTCTTTTAGAATAAAATCATAAGTGGATTAGCATTTATTAGATGAATAAAAAATTGTGGGTACTGAGGGAATGGACAGAAATATAGAACTGTGAGAAAAAAACACAAGAATGACTATTACTTTTTTATATAATGAATGTTCATTTCTTGGAATTGTGGCTCCCAAAAGAACCTTGATAGTGCTCTAAATAAAGTAAATTACAATCACATTCTTAAGAAAAGTAAAACTTAAGAATCAGTGTAGGATGGATTTCCACGCTGTTCGTCTTTGGTTTCCCACCACAGATTTCCTCCCCAGGCCTGTTTCCTCTTATCACATTAGATTACTTGCAACCTCACTGAGAAGACAAGGGGCCAGATAGGAGACTCCGCTCCGTCTTCACAAGTGTCTTACATCTGCATCCTTCTTAATAGGCTAACTCTTTCATCCATGCTCTCAGCTCAGTGACTGCAAATCATCCCGTCTTTCCTCTCTAAAAATTAAAACCAGTGAAGGCAAAGTTAGGCTTAACTTGATCTCATATTGAAGAAAAATTCCTTATGAGAAATCAAAATTTTTCTTTATTAATGTGGAGAGAGACATCATGACTACTGTTTAAGATAAAAATAGTGCAAATTTCTTTGCTATTACACTTTGACTACTGCTGTCTTTCTTCTCAATAGAAATGCCATTTAAAACATTAATTATCCTTCGGCCACACTGTGCAGCATGCGCGTCTCAGCCCCTCACTAGGAACTGAACCCGTGACCCCTGCAGTGGAAGAGCGCAGTCTAAACCACCGGACTGCCAGGGAAGTCCCACAAGTGCTCGTTAACAAAGCGACAAGGGAGAGCGAAGGGACACAAACGACTTCTCACTTCACGGCAGCACACACACTTCAGTGAGTTCTTACTCCAAGCCTGAGTAATACTCTCATTTTACAGCTGAGGAAACTCAAGCCTAGTAACTTACTCAGACACAACCCTAGGGACAGGATTAAAACCTAATTAATGTCAAAACACATGCTTTTCCTATCACAACATAAGACTGTGAAAGGAAGAAAGCAGCGCTCTATAATGACCTAAGAGAAATGCAGAGGTGTGTGCACTGTGAAAAGCGCTTAAACTCAGCTGTGAAACCATAAGCAAGGATCCAGCTATGTTCATAACATGCCATTTATCTTATCTAGCATAT